GGGGGCAGGGTGGGGGAGTGCGCATGCGCGGGCGCGCCGTGATGGCGGGCTGTGAGAGGAGCTTCCCGCCGGAGCCGGTAAGGGGAGCGGGCGGCAGCCGCCTTCTGAAAAGGGCTGTTTGAGAAGCTGATAATTCAGGTGCGGCTGAGCGGGGTGTAGCTCCTGAGATGCGGAGGTTACCGGCAGGGACGGGGAGGCGGCCCCTGAGGAGAGGGAGGGAGGGAGGGAGGGGAGTAGAAACGTTATTACAGCTTCACACCTCTCCAGCTTCATTTAAGCCTTAGCTAAAAATAAATGCATTTGTTTGAATCCCATTTGCAAACAAGTATAAATCATTATTAGCAACCCTTAATACATAGTTTTATACTACACAGTTGAAGCAAACAGCTTTCAGGGCCAGCTGGGGTTGGATACCTCCCCTGCCTGCGCCCCGACTTCTCCCTCCTTCTACCCAAAAGAACCCAGAATATGGGGCTGCAGCAAGTGTTAAGGTACAGAGCTCCTTCGTTATAAAAACTACAGCCTGAATTTCCCTCTGAGCAGTAATTCAAGCATCAGCGTCTTCCCATGTGGCCCAGCAAAGATACTGGGTACCTCCGCAGGGCGTTCAGTCGTGAAAGCTGGGTGCAGTTTCACTATATTAAACATCTGGAATGTTTGTTGGTGGGTTGTTTTTTGTTTTTGTGGTTTTTTTTTTTTTTTTTAAGAGCTCTAATCAGCATTTCACATGACACAACTCAGAACTAAGTCATTTACAAACAGATTTATACCCAGTCTCTTAGTGGATGGGGATAAGTACTGAACTATTCTCTACAAAACCTCTTCATAAAAGCTTTATGGGGGACAGCGCTGTTACAACTCCAGGTTCTAACATCACCAGAGCTACTGTGGAGGAGCACCAGATACCCACTTCGTAATCACGACTGCATTATAAAGCAACACAATGCAACTGTGGTATGTCCTCCAGTAGGGATTTCGGGGAGCAAGGTAGTGTGGTATACTGACCTCCCACTGTCACCGTCGGGAGATACAGCACTGTAACATTCAAGCAACAAATACTAGCACAAATGAGGGGAGGACGCTCCTCGAGTCATACTGCTGCATATAATATACTGCATAGGTATTTCATGGGTTTGATATTTCAGTATAACTTTACAGAAGCAGTACTAATGAGCCCACCATAATATAAAATACAGAAAGACTGAGAACATTCTTCCTAAGTCATGTCCCTCTTTCAGGTAGCAATTATGAGTACGCAGAAGGGACAGCTTTCCTGACTCTCAGGTGTAGAACCTGCAACACATATGAGCCATGTATGATACCAGATGACTTCCAGTAAGTACATACACATAAACATATTTATTTATATAAACAAAAGCATCAAAACTTCAATAAGGTTTTTTATTACCTTAGGTAACCAAACAGTATTTTTAAATCAAAACATTATTTCTCTTTAGCTAATGTATTTTTACATTCTTTATTCAATTTATGCAGCCATATTTCAGATTGCTGAAGCAGTATTTAAAGTATTATCAAGATCATTCACACTTGGAATAAGAAAGCATATAAGCTTATCTCCAAATTCCTTTACAGCTCTGTAAGACCTTTTCAGTCATTTAAACAATCTCCAAGTCAGTATTACCTTGCCATCCACCTTAATTTTGAGAGGTTCCTTAAATAATATCATTCAAAAGCAGCAATATTTGCACTTAAAACATATAAACATCTCCTGTTAGAAGACCCGAAAAGTTACACAAAACTACCTAATAAACATAATACAGTTGACTGGGATTGTCTTTTTGAATAATGTGATTTTTTGCGGGCCCATTTCTGACAGATTTGGAGAGTACTCAAATTCTGTCAACTTTACAAGTTGACATCATGTAGCACTATGCATGAGACAGTCATTTACTGTCAAAATTAAAACTATACTTGCTCCTGCCCAATTACCTTGAAGAGAAAGTGAACAGAGATTAACCTCAACAAATTCAGCTCTTTGTTGTGGAGGAAAGCAGAGGAGGAGCTATTTAATACAAGGATACAGAGAGGATCCAGACTTCTGATGTCTAGGTGACACGTAGTTTGTAGAGCAAGGTATGGATAAGTTACAGTAAGTCCACCAAGGTTCACTGAAAGTTTTTGCAGTGCTCTGATCAGAATATAGTACTCGTTACACAGGACGCCTGGATATTCCTATTTCACTTTGCATGTTAAAGCTTCCTTGCGTACAATTCTGCAAAAATACATTGCAAACCATGCCCAGATCCATTCCGGTAGGCGCTCACCCAACGTGAACTGTGGAGAGGTGCAGGGAGGCAAGAGAAGAGAAAAAAGAAAGGAAGGTACAGATTAAGATATATTCCATTAAACAAAGTTTCTCAAATTACCACTAGAGCGAGGCAAAGCCTGCTCAAACATCAGCAACTAAGCCTTAAATTCAACCCCCTGAAAGTAAATGTATTTAGATATTTTGGAAGTACTGCACAGAGCTGAAGAGTTAGTTTCTGCAAATAAATTCTGAAGTGGCTTGTTCATGTTCGCAACAGTAATATCATCCACTTCCTTTAATTACCACATCTTGCCAGAATCCTTCCCATCTCTTTTATTCCTTTTGGACTAATCCCCATTTCTTCAATTCCTTCTACTCGACCTAATGCTATAGAAATGCTGTTATCCCATCCTCCCTGCCCACTCTTCCCCAAAGTAGAAATACGCTCAATAAATTAAGAATGAAAAAAGCTACTGCTGTTCATAGAAGACAGTGAAATGCCTGCCCAGTCAGCAGCACCCCAATTGACATACGATACCTTGTGCTTTTGAATAAAAAGTCTCTTTCCCATTTCTGCTGTGCATTTGAAGTGGGAATTGGATTCACTCTCTCATTCTAAAAATAAGCATGCCCAAGCATAATTTTCTAAAGCAGAATTAGAAAATATGGCACAATGCCTTTTAAGTCCTCAAACCAGGACAAATATATATTGCACTTTTTCAGAATACAACCATAGTTTTCATTCAGATTCCTAAAGAAGTAAACAGCTTATTTACTTCTCTTGACAAACAGCAAATAGTTTAAGGAATTATATTACCTTTATTGCATGCTTCCAGTAACCAGTAGTCCTTGTGGATAACCCAAGAGTAGAAATAGCATGACTTGCATATTCTTCAGCAGAAGGAAAAAAGAAAGATCTCTCTGATGCAGCGCTGCTGCATGCTACCATTTTTGTAGAAATTACAAATGGGGTTAAACTCTGAACAAAAATTCCTTTTGAGGCATACTCATAATGTAGTGCTCTACTGAAATAGTCCAAGTAGGTCTAGAAAGACAAAAGCAGAAAGAGACATCTTTTTTCTTTCTTTCTTTTTTTTAAAAACAATCAAGTCTTAGGGCAGAATTTTATTAAAATTACAGAAAAGTTGTTGCATATTTTATACACCAGCTGAAAAAATAAAACCCTTGAATAAGCAGTATAAAAATACACATTTCTAAAGCATTATCAACATTTCTATTCGTTGCCATTTGTTTGCTAAAAACCTGCAATAGTGCAGTAACTTGCAGGACAAACAGCTTAAATCTCTGATGTGAATTTAACAAACAATCTGACAATTTCTGCTAAAAACAATAAAGAAACATTTATTTCATCTAAAACAAACACCTTCTTTAGTTTCAGGGAATTGCAGGGTACACTCCAAAGCTACCTATACATACTATTGTCAAAAGGAAAAAATGAAGTCCCATTCTTTAATACACTTACAGGTCAATTTCACATTCAACTGATCTTCCTCAGAAGCGAGGTTAATTACTGCCTGGGACTCCCTTGTGCAAAATTAAACGTACATTTGTTTATGTGCATCTGTATTATCTCCTTTCGTTCATTTTACGTTTACAGAATAACATAAAAAAGCACAAGCCTGATAATTGGGGTTGCTGGAATCAACAGATGGGAAAATGAGCATGGCTTGGTCTTACCACGGCAGCAACACTGATGCCATGCTGAAGCTACTGCTGCACCGCACAGCCAGTTACCCCCCGAGAATGCATTTTTGACTCAACTTATGAGCAAATGGGTTTCTGCTCCCAAACAGCCTCACCAGAGTGCCATTCCCAACAAACTGTTGGGAGAGTATCTTCTACAAATGCTCTTACGCCTGCTTTAGGACAACTATCAAACTAACCAACCACTTCAAACACCTTACACTGTTAACACACAAAGAGGCTTAGGATGCTAGAGCAGCTGGTTGCTGCTTCTGTGCCAATGTACAGAGGCCAGGCTTTAAAGTGGATTGCTGATCTAGGATTTAGATTAATGGTGGCAGCTAAAGGAAGAAACTTCAGGACACTTGGTTTTGTTCTGTTCTTTTTCATTCAGGTCCTTTAATTGTTTTAGTTGCATACACTTAGCATAACCAAGGTGGGGAGATACTGTGCAACAAGACCAGGAATCTTAAGCTAGTCTCCCCACTGAAGAAAATCTGCAAGGAGTTTTATACCTCGGGGTAATAAGAGCTGGTTTTGCACCAGGCAAAAGGAAGTATTCACAAGAGTTATCCCAGGAGCAAGGCTGCACAGGGGTTAGGCTACAGCCGAGGGCAGCCACCACCAGCTGGAAGCAATAACCACTTGCGTTTAGACACCAGATCGAGACAAGATCCTTCTACAATTTTTGTTGCTTTTGTGGATTCAGCAGCAAGACATCCAGTGTAAATCCACATCCCCATATGCATTCATACTTCCACCATCGCACAGCTGCTCCATCCTATTCATTATTGACTGGATCTGCTCAGGAAGAATAATTGGGGGGGGAAGTTCTTTTCACTTCTCCCCAAATATGGTACAGATAATGATGTAAGAAGCCTTCTGCCCCGTGGTGGTGGTAGGTGAAGCAGTGGCTTGATTTGGCCACAGCCCTTGTGACAGTGGTGGCTTGAGCATGAGTATAGCCCTTCTTGCTACCAAACAGTAGCGTGTAAGTAGCTTGAGGTATGTCTGCTCAGTTCAGCTCAAGAAGAGAGAGATGAAAATCCTGACCCTTTCAACGGGCCACACAACTGCCACTTTGCACATCATTCCTCTGAGGAAGATAAGATTTTGCCTAGAACTGCTGTTACGTCACAGTTCGCACATAATCCAAATAGCATTGACTTTGGTTCAAAGCCCAGTATTGGTAAGGACAAAGAGTTTACTGCATCTTACATGTAACTTTCACCTCCAACACTTGAACAAATCCCTAGAAAACTTTCAAGTATGTTTTTATATCCTTGCTGAATGTGTTTACAACCAATCAACCTATAATACATCTACTTTTCAGTGCATACCATTAAACATTACATCCCAACTTACTTTAGAGGCTCCATAGATTGTCAACATTGGTGTCGGCTGACAACAGGACGCAGAAGAAACATTCACAATTGCCCCTTTCTTCTTCTCTACCATGCCCGGCAGCACAATATGCATCATCATGTTAGCAGAAGCAATATTTATGTTGATCATGTCCCACAGCAAATCCTCAGACAGGTTGGTAAAATAGTCCGGGTAGGGATAAAACACTCCTACATTATTCACCAAAATGCCAATTTCTCTGTCTTTCAGAGCCTTTTTAATGGCTGGGTAAGGCTCACGCCCCTTGCTGAAGTCTGCTACTATGAAATCTGTTTCCACTTTATACGTTTCAGATATGCTTCTAGATACAGCCTCCAGCTTCTCTTTGCTTCGGCTGATTAAGATGATGTTGACACCGCGCTTTGCCAGTTCTTCAGCATATGCCTTCCCGATACCATCTGTGCTACCTGTAATAGAAAATAAAAAAGCAAGGTGAAAATCAGAGCAGCCCCACCCTTCTCTTTTGCCAGTACTTTCAATTATAGCTTTGTTCCCTTCTCTGAAGATCACGTGGCACTGAATATAGTGATCTTAAAACCACTACAATAAAGACGTTGTCATAGAATCATAGAATAGGTTAGGTAGGAAAAGACCTTTAAGATTGAGTCCAACCATTAACTTAGCACTGCCAAGTCCACCACTAAACCATGTCCCTAAGCGCCACATCTACAGGTCTTTTAAATACCTCCAGGGATGGCGACTCAACCACTTCCCTGGGCAGCCTGTTCCAATGCTTGACAACCCTTTCAGTGAAAACATTTTTTGTAATATTCAATCTAAACCTCCTCTGGTGCAACTTGAGGCCGTTTCCTCTTGTCCTATTGCTTCTTACTTGGGAGAAGAGACCAACCCCCACCTCACTACAACCTCCTTTCATGTAGTTGTAGAGAGCGATAAGGTCTCCCCTGAGGGTCCTTTTCTCCAGTCTGAATCACCCCAGTTCCCTCAGCTGCTCCTCACCAGACTTGTGCCCCAGACCCCTCACCAGCTTCGTTGCCACTCCCCAGACATGCTCCAGCACCTCAATGTCCCTCCTGTAGTGAGGGGCCCAAAACGGAACAGTATTTGAGGTGCAGCCTCACCAGTGCCAAGTACAGGGGGACAATCACTTCCCTCATCCTGCTGGCCACACTATTTGATACAGGCCAGGATGCTGTAGGCCTTCTTGGCCACCTGGGCACACTGCTGGCTCATATTCAGCCAGCTGTCAACCAACACCACCAGGTCCTTTTCCAGCCGCTCTTTTCCCAAGCCTGTAGCACTGCATGGGGTTGTTGTGACCCAAGTACAGGACCCGGCACTGGGCCTCGTTGAACCTCACACCATTGGCCTCAGCCCATTGACCCAGCCTGTCCAGATCCCTCTGCAGAGCCATCCTACCCTCAAGCAGATCAACATTTCAATCCAACTTGGTGTTGTCTGCAAACTTACTGAGGGTGCACACTCAATCCCCTCATCCAGATCATTCATAAAGAGATTAAACAGAACCGTCTCCAATACCGAGCCCTGGGGAACACCACTTGTGACTGGCCGCCAACTGGATTTAACTCCATTCACCACAACTCTCTGGGCCCAGCCACCCAGCCGGTTTTTTACCCAGCAAAGAGTACACCCATCCAAGCCATGAGCAGCCAGTTTCTCCAGGAGAATGCTGTGGGAAACAGTGACAAAGCCTTTACTAAAGTTGAGGTAAACAATATCTACAGCCTTTCCCTCATCCATTAAGCAGGTCACCTTGTCATAGGAGATCGGGTTAGTCGAGCAGGGCCTGCCTTTCATAAAGCCATGCTGACTGGGTCTGACCACCTAGTTGTCCTGTATGTGCCACGTGATGGCACTCAAGATGATCTGCTCCTTAATCTTCCTCAGCTTGAGGTCAGACTGACAGGCCTGTAATTCCCCAGATCCTCCTGACGGCCCTTCTTGTAGATGGGTATCACATTTGGTAACATCCAGTCGGCTGCGACCTCCCTGGTTAGCCAGGACTGTTGATAAACGATGGAAAGTGGCTCGGTGAGCACATCCACCAGCTCCCTCAGTACCCTGGGGTGGAGCCCATCTGGCCCCATAGCGTTGTGCGTGTCTAAGTGGTGTAGGAGGTTGCTAACCACTTCCCCTTGGACTATGGGGGTTCATTCTGCTCCCTGTCCCTGTCTTCCAGCTCAGGGGACTGGGTACTTGGGAACAACTGGTCTTACTCTTAAAGACTGAGGCAAAGAAGGCATTAAGTACCTCATCCTTTGTCGCTACGTTTTCCCCTGCATACAATAAAGGATGGAGATTCTCCTTAGACGTTTTGTTGCTAATATACTTATAAACATTTTTTATCATCTTCTACAGCAGTAGCCAGATTAAGTTGTAGTTAGGCTCTGGCCCTTCTAATTTTCTCCCTGCATAACCTCAGAACATCATTGTAGCCCTGCTGAGTTGCCTGCCCCTTCTTTCAAAGTTTATTAACTCTCCTTTTTTTTTTCCTGAGTTCCAGCTAAAGCTGTCTGTTCAGCCAGGCCTGTCTTCTTCCCTGCCAGCTCATCTTATGGCACATGGGGATGGCCAGCTCCTGCGCCTTTACGATTTCCTTCTTGAAGAATGTCCAGCCTTCCTGGACTCCTTTGCCCTTCAGGACTGCCTCCCAAGGAACTCTGTCAACCAGGGTCCTAAACAGGCCAAAGTCTGCCCTCTGGAAGTCCAGGGTGGCAGTTCTGCTGACCCTCATCCTTACTTCTCCAAGAATTGAAAACTCTTATCATTTTGTGATCGCTCTGCCCAAGACTAGCCTCCAGCCAGCACATCACCTGCAAGTCTTTCTCTATTCACAAACAGCAGGTCCAGCAGGACGCCTTCGCTAGTTAACTTCCTGACACAGCTGGTGAGGGAGCCATCTTCAACACACTCCAGGAACCTTCTAGACTGTTCGCTCTCTGCTGTATTGTATTTCCAGCAGACATCTGGTAAGCTGAAGCCCCCCCGGGAGAACAAGGGCTAGCAATTGTGACTTCTCCCAGCTGCTTACAGAATATTTCATCCACCTCTTCATCCTGGTTGGGCGGTCTATAACAGACTCCCACCATGATATCTGCCTTGCTGACCTTCCCCCTGATTCTTACCCATAAACACTCAACCCTATGGTCGCCATCATTAAGCTCTAATCAAAACACTCCCTAACATACAGGGCTACCCCACCGCCTCTCCTTCCTTCTGAAGAGTTTATAGCCATCCATTGCAGCACTCCAGTTGTGCGAGTCATCCCACCATGTTTCCATCATTGTTAGTAGCAACCTTCTGCAATCCCACCTCGTACAAGTTTTATATTTTCTATGACAACAACAAAGAGCTTAGAGCAGAACCTTAATGAAAGGCTAGGATGTCAGAGGTACATGACAAACTTAAACTTGAGCACATGTAAGGTACA